GCTGGGCTAGAACCGACGCCCATATGGGATCCCGGGCATGCGAGGCGAGGACCTTAACCATTTGCGCCACCGCGCCGGGCCCCTGATTTCCTTTTCTTAACTAATGGCTCTGGCTGAAACTTCTAAGACTAGATTTAATAGCAATGGTGAGAGTGGGCATCCTTATCTGGTTCCAGATCTAAGTGAAAAATTTTTCCAGCTTTTCCCTGTTCAACATGATGCTGGCTGGGGTGTGTGTGTGTGTGTGTGCACGCACATGCACGTTTATAAATCTTGATTGTGTTGAGGAATATCCCTTCTGTATGCAAATGGATTAAGGCTTCTATCATAAACGAATATTTTATTTAATACTTCCTCTGCATCTGTTGAGACAGTCAGTTAGTTCTTTCTCTCCAGCTTGTTGATTTGCATATATTGAAACATCCCTGTATACCAGACATAAATCCTAGTTGGTCCCATGGATGACCTTTCTGATGTATTGCTGGATTTGATCCACTAGTATTTTGTTGAGGATTTTTACATCCTTTGTTTATTGGGGATATTGATTTATAGTTTTTTATTGTATCTTTTTCTGGTTTTGGAATAAAGGTTATGTTGCCTTCATACAGTTTTGCAGGGATTCCTTCCCATTCAATCATTTTGAGTGTCTTAAAAAAAAATTGGAATTACTTCTTAGAAAGTTTGTAGAATTTAGCAGTAAAGCAATCCAGTCCTAGGCTTTTGTTTGTTGAGAGAGTCTTTATTATTGAGTCTGTCTCTGTCTTGGTTACTGAGCTATGTAGGTTTTCTGCGTCATAGTGACTCCACCTAGGTAGATTATATCTGTCTAGAACATCAGTTTCTTCCAGATTTTCCAATTTATTAGCATATTGTTTGTGTAGTAATTCCTGATTTTTTTGTGTGTGTGTCATTGGTATCTGTTTTGTTTACCTGTTTATCTCTGATTTCATAGATTTGGGGATTTGGGTCTTCTCCCCCTCCCTTTTTTGTTTGTCAGTTAGGCCAGTAGTATTCCTGGCCGCCACCTCCCCAAAAGAAAAAAACCCAGCTTTTCAATTCACTGATTTTATCTGTCATTTTTGGGGGCACGATCTTGTTTATTTCTCTAGTTTTAATTATTTTTTGTTGTTAACTTTGGCTGGTTGTTGCTTGGCTCTTCAGCTGGGCTGATAGATCATTTATTTCATGCCTTTCTGATTTCTTGATGTAAGAACTGATTGCTCTGAATTCCCCTAACACTGCTTTTGCTGTATCCCATAAATTTGGATATGCTTATGTTGTGCTGTCATATTCATTTGTTTCCAGGAATTTTCTTATTTCCCTTTCGACTAAGGACCCACTAGTGTATTATTCAGTCTCCATGTTGTTTGCATGTTTTTTAGAACTTAACTTGATTTCCCGCTTTATTCCACGGTGATCAGCAAAGATACATGATATGATTTCAGTTTCTTTTTTTGGTTTGCTGAGGTGTGCTTTGTTAGCTAACATGTGGCCTATCCAGCTGTGGTTTGAAGTGTTCTGTGGATGTCACCTAGGTCCATTTGGTTCATTACGGGATTTGTTTTTAAATCCATTCAGCCAGTCTATATTTTGAATGGGGAATTACACCTGATCTTAGTCAAAAGGCCGAGAAGTGATTGAATGAAGTTAGACCTTTTGCTTTCAGGGTTGTTATTGAAAGTAAAGACTTGGCTGTAGCATTTTCCATCAGCATTTTCATTGTTTTCTTGGATGTCTCTTGTACGTTTACCAGGAGATTTTCTACCTTCACATTCTTTCATTATGGCAGTTAATCCTCTCTATTTCTGTGTGTAACACCTCCTCAAGCATCATTTGCAAGGCTGGAGATATAGTGGCATAATCGTTCCATTTCTGTTTGGAAGGTCTGTATTTGACCCTTGTATATAAAAAGCGGTCTGTTGGATACTGTATACTGTGTTGACATTTTCTTTTTGACCAAGACTGTCTTTCCATTCCTAATTTGCAGGGTTTTTGATGAGAAATCAGCTCTAAGTCTGATGGGAATCCTTTGAGAGTAACGTGGCATTTCTCCTGTGTATGTTTTAGAATTTTGGTATTTAACTTTGCAAGTTTGACCATAGTGTGTCATGGTGAAGGCTGTTTCTGATGATGCCTATGTAGTTCTTGTACTTGAAGGTCTCATTCTTTCTCCATGTTAGGGACGTTTTCTATCATCATTTCACTGACTAGCATTTCTAATCAATTATCTATTTCCACAACTTCAAGAACTCTTAAAATATGTGTATTTGGTCTCTTTATAGTATCCTGATTTTATTTAATTTATAAAAAAAAATAATTGATTTTTACAAATACACAAAAGGAAATGATCAAATTGTGATAACTAACAATTCCATTGCCTTAAACATTTATCATTTCTTTAAGGAGCATTTGAAATCCTTTCCTTTAGATACATAATTTTTTAAAAAAGATTTACTTATTGGTCCCGGTGCGGTGGCACAAGTGGTTAAGGTCCTCGCCTTGCACGCCCCCGGATCCCATATGGGCGCTGGTTCTAGTCCCGTCCCGGCAGCCCTGCTTCCCTTCCAGCTCCCTACCTGTGGCCTGGGAAAGCAGTCAAGGACAACCCAAAGCTTTGGGACCCTACACCCATGTGGGAGACCTGGAAGAAGCTCCTGGCTTCGGATTGGCTCAGCTCCAGCTGTTGCGGCCACCTGGGGAGTGAATCATCGGATGGAAGATCTTCCTCTCTGTCTCCCCTCTCTATATATCCGCCTTTCCAATAAAAATAAAATAAATCTTTTAAAAAAAAGATTTTAAAATCTTTTTAAAATAAATCTTTTAAAAAAAAGATTTACTTATTTTTATTGGAAAGGCGGATTTACAGAGAGGAGGAGAGACAGAGAGAAACATCATGAATTTCATCTATGAATTCTGATTTATGCATAATTGCACAGTGACAAATTAAGGGACTTCCCTTACTGATTTTCATTCTTACATTCTGAAATCCTATAAGGAAGTAAAATGCAGAAAAACTTTAAAAAGTGAATCTCCAGATTGAGGTTCCATGTATTCAGGGACTAGCAGATCAAGGAAATCTGATATATTTAATTTGCTGTACAGTTTTTTTTTAACCACTGTTTTTATTTTTCCTCCTCATATTAGGCGTTTTCCCAGTTGACTGACTTCTCCCTGCCTTAAAAAATACCTTTCTCTTGCTAAGATTTCTTTCCGCTCTTCTGTCTCCTATTATGGATTAGAAAGTAGTTACCTTTTTATCAAAGATAGTAACGAAAGGTTTTTGATAAGAGAATAACCTTCTCTGTAAAAATAATGGGAACTGTAATTGCTTAGCTATGCTTGTTAATAATCCCATGTGATGCAGAGTTGTTTTATTAAGTTGATATTTCTGAAATTACTTGCTGTTTCAGATTAGTGTGATGTAGTCAGCATGAAAGCCTGAGACTGGCTGCTTGGTCGTCTCGGATAGTGTCCTATTTACACCTTTGGATAGAAGACTTTACTTTTCTTTTAAAATCCTTTTCTGTGTCTAATCTATTACAGAATTATTCATGTACCTTGGGAAGTCTCAAAACTTCATTAATCACAATTTTTAAAATATCATCATTTAAATATGTTAATTGGTTTGCTTCAGGAAGTCCCTTGCAGCATTTTGGTTATTTGGATTCAAAGCATGTATAACAATAAGGTGTATATAGTATAACTTATATTAAAATGAGTCTTTTATACTGAATGTGTAGAAATATTATAGATTCTTTGTGAATAATAAGATATCTTAGAGAAAAATTTTTTAGAGTGTAACCTTTCTGTCAGATAGTCAAGTCTGATCTAGTGGGATGACTTAGTCATTTCCTGAAAGAAAACTTAGGATGTCTTTGACTTGATGAACTGGATGGCGAGTAGGATGTTTTTTTTTCCTGTATATGGAACAGAAATGAAACTGAAGGCTTTAGGAGAGTAATGAATATATCATTTTAACTACTTTTTATCTCTTGCCATCTAAGATTTTTTTAAAAAGATTGTATATTTGAACGTGGGTGTTATTTTAAATTCACGTTAGTTAAGAATGCCTGAAGTATGTTTGTTCAGGTGCGAAGACTCTCATGATGCTTCATTAATTGAATAAATGATCCTATATTTGATTGTAATGTAGGCAGCTTTGTGAGGTTGTAATGATTGTTCTTGCTTAGGACTCATAATTTTCATTCAAGAAGAAAATCATTTTTGTGTGTATTTATAAGAAAGTATAGTTTTGTGATAGAGTTCTATGAGAATTAAGTCTTTTCCAGTTAACAGGCTGTTGATACTGCTTTGGGATTCTTTTGGCTTGACTCCTTTATCATGCAGCTAATGTTACTGGGAAATGCATGATCCTCTGTGACACGTTAGGTCACAGTATAACCTGGCTCTCACTCTAACGTCTTGATTCAGTGCTTTTCACTGAATCCTATCATCCCAGTTAGTCACTGAATAGTGAGATGCTATTAAAAAGAAAGGAAGGGGCTGGGCACGGTGCGGTGGCTCAGTGTCTAAATCCTCCCCTTGCATGAGCTGGGATCCCACATGGGTGCTGGTTTGTGTCTCAGCTGCTTCGCTTCCCTCGTAGGTACCTGCCTGTGGCCTGGGAAAGCAGTCGAGAACATCCCAAAGCCTTGGGACCCTGCACCGACTTGGTGGTGCTGGAGGCAGCTACTGGCTCCTGGCTTTGGAACCATTGTTGCCATTTGGGGAGTGGACCAATAGCTCTTTCTTTCTGTCTCTCCTTCTCTGTAAATCTAATTTGCCTTTCCAATAAAATGAAAATAAAATCTTAAAATGAGAGAGAGAGAGAGAAAGAGAGAGAGAGAGAATATGAATTCCAAAGGGAAAGAGCATGCACCCTTCTTTGCAGAAGCTGTTAGGCTTCAGAGTTCACTGATGAGGTCTCTCTCTTTTGCTCTGCACTCAGTCTTCTTGGTGGGGATACCATGCTAATAAGGTTTTGTTTTTTTTTTTTTTAGGTGAAAGCTACGTGTGTGCATCCAATGAACCATTTCGTAAAGTTGATTACACCAAAAATGTTAACCCCAACTGGTCTGTGAACATCAAGGGCGGGACAAGTAGGGCCTTGGCAGCCACCTCCTCTGTGAAAAGTGAAGTGAAGGAAAGTAAAGATTTCATCAAACCTAAACTAGTAACTGTGATTCGAAGTGGAGTGAAGCCTAGAAAAGCTGTGCGGATCCTTCTGAATAAAAAGACCGCTCATTCCTTTGAACAAGTCTTAACAGATATCACCGAAGCCATTAAACTAGACTCAGGAGTGGTCAAGAGGCTCTGCACCCTGGACGGGAAGCAGGTGAGTGGCTTCTATCCCTCTCACACGCCGTGGAGCATGGCAGGCACATCCTTGGCATCAGAAGTCCAGGCACCTGCTGGACATAATCCCGGGAGTCCTGTTTAGGAAGGGCGTGCGTGTGTGTGTGTGTGGGGGGGGGGGTGCATCAGCCTGCGTGGTGAAAAATGTAACTTAGGTTTCTTCAGATACCTTAAAGATGAACATAAAGATGTCACTCTTAAGATTACTTTTGGTTTTTGGAAAGAAATGTGTAAATTTCTAAGGGGAAAATTTTAAGTCAAGGAGAGCTGTTCTTTATTAAGTGAGATGTTGTTTAACCACGCTGTTGTGGTAAAATCATGACTTAGGATTCCCAAGAGTGAAAATGATAGATGCTTAATAGAGAAAAGCCTTTCCTCCGCACTTGTGTATAAATGAAAATGCATTGCCAGTAACTACTTTAATAGGAAGGTCCGTGTAAGTTTTCTACAGAACAATAGAGATAATTAAAAATGAACACCATTTGCGTAGAAAATGCAAATTGTGGTAACACATCAGAGATGCTGATGGACTAAAATCAAATGGGCAAGTTGTAGCAGCACATGAATAATAACTACTCAAGTACTGGATTTTGCTGCACTTAGATTATCATCCTTAAAAAGTATATATCTAACTTCGGAGTTCTGTTCTTAAGTTTCCATAAGGGTAAATTGTTTACACTTATGTGGCATTAAAATAGAATTTGTTTCTTGATTCTTTTTGATTTTTTACCTCTAACATAGTTAGTTTTGAAGTGTTTGACCTGTACAGTTCTGAGCAGGAATACACACCAAACACCGGAGAGCGTCCTTTGAAAAAACAGTGCTTTCTAATTTTCTAACATTGGACTTGGTTATTAAGATATTTTCTGAAACACTAACAAGATTTTAAATGTACATTCTAAAATTTCTGGTACATTCTGGCAACATTAGAGTGGAAGGTTGGAAGGTATGTACTTCATAGCCAGCTGTCCCCTGAAGAGGTTCACAGCAGCCTGGGTCAGTGTGTGAATCACACAGGATGCCTTAAACACCCCAGACTCACGGTGTAAATAATGATAGGAGAACTCTGCAAGACAGGAGATTTGCCGTATCAAAAAGTAATTGTTGATGGGCACAGGGAACACAGGAGTTACAGATGTCTAGCAATAGGAAACATAAAAAATCTCAACATGCCAGATTAGCAAAAAAAAAAAAAGGCCACATAAGCCATAATTGCAAATGAGATCTTAGAAATTATAATGCAGATTTGGAAATCTCCAAATAAATGATATTCAAGGAAAATTTAAGTTTGACAAAAGCTTAATATAGTAGCATCTTAATAACCATTTTGATTTTTTTATACTTATCCAAAAATTTTCCTTCAAAAAAACTCTAGAAATGTAAAAACATAAGCTACAGCACAGGTAAATGAAGCCATGAGTATATTCACGATAATACAATGTGGTGAGTACCAGTGATAAAGGATGCCCTGCTGTTAAGAGACACCTTTAAGTGTGACAGCTATAGAATAAAGCAAAAATGGCACACATGGAGGATCATAAAGACGTTGCAAAGACTGACAAAGATTTTTAAAAACAAAATCCATATTCAGTTAGACAGTTAGTAATAAAAATGGAAGGTGATTTTTAAAGATTTATTTATTTTTTATTGGAAAGGAAAATTTACAGAGAAGAGAGACACAGAGAGATCTATCTGCTGGTTCACGCCCTGCAGTGGCTGGCTGAAGCTGAGCCAATCCAAAGCCAGGAACCAGGAGCTTCTTCCAGGTCTCCCATGTGGATGCAGGGTCCCAAGGCATTGGACCATCCACTATTGCCTTCCCAGGCCATAAACAAGGAGCTGGATGGCAAGTGGAGCAGCCAGGACATGAACTAGCACCCAAATAGGATCCCAAAGCATATAAGATGAGGATTCAGCCACTAAGCTACCACACCAGGCCCAGAAGGTGATTTTTAATACACCAAAAATGTTCCTATCAGACAAAAGCACGTATGATGCTGTATGAATGCACTCAGGTAGTTCTGTGATGGCTGGGTCTCATCACCAGTTGTCAGCACTCTTCTGGGTGTTCTTCCTGATTTCTATGTATTTGAAAGCAATTTTAAAGAAAGTTTTGGGTTTTTAAAAAGAGACCTGAAAAGGTAATTTTAAAGTTAATCAGAAAAAATAGTGGAATTCTAGAAATAATAATTAATGGACTCTCTATTAAATCATTTTCATACTTGCAAATGTAAATTCCAGGTATTTTAAAAACAGATTTTAGAAGAAAGAAGAACTAAGACGAACTATGTCAGTAGTTATGTTGAAATGGAAAGCACTTTTCTGAGCATGCAAGGAGAGTAAAAATCGTACAGGGAAAGATTGTGGTCTTTCTAAAGCTGAAAATTCCTGGACCTCATGCTATGACTTCAAGCGTTACATTTTACACAGTAATCTATATTGTATACAGTTTATTGAGCCATCATAATTTCAGATCTGAAAGACACTCTACAAAAGAAAAATGGACAAAAAAAATCTAAACAGATAATTTGAAATGGCAGAATTACAAAGAGTAAACATTAGAAAATGATCGGAATCACTAATAATAATGTAAGTTTAAGCACTGAATTATTTTAATATTAGGAATTGACAGTTTTAAAGGATAAAATGTTCACTTTTTTGAATATGATGAATTGACAGTCTTAAATGATAATAGAAATTAAAGTTGCTGAACTTTATGGGGAGCCATTTGTTAATATGTATGCAAATGTTTATTATTTGAAATAGGATCTTAAGCATTGATCTTAAATAACCAGAGAGCAAATATAATAATTTAATTATTTTCATCTTAATATAACAACAAAAACATTGAAACCAGTTTATGACCTCTAAATCAAAAATAGCTAAGTAATATTACCATGAAATTCGTATGCCATTGTAATTGCATTTGGGAGAATATTTACAGACATTAGAAAAAAATTAAATGGGAAAAGCATAAAATAAACTTGGCAGTATGTTTTTCAATTAAAAATAGAGGAAGAAAATTTTTCAAAATCTAATTTAGAAAAAAATAAGTTTATAGTAGCAAATATTCAATCACAAACTGAATATCTGTTTTTCTGATTTCCATTGCTTTCCCTCATTAATTCTTTTTTTTTTTAAAGATTTATTTTTATTATTTTTTATTGGAAAGGCGGATATACAGAGAGGAGAGACAGAGAGGAAGATCTTCCATCCGATGATTCACTCCCCAAGTGAGCTGCAACGGCCAATGCTATGCCTATCCGAAGCCAGGAGCCTCTTCTGGGTCTCCCACATGGGTGCAGGGTCCCAAAGCTTTTGGGCCATGCTTTCCCGGGCCACAGGCAGGGAGCTGGAAGGGAAGCGGGACTGCCAGGATTAGAACCTGTGCCCATATGGGATCCCGGGCGTGCAAGGCGAGGACCTTAACCACTTGCGCCACTGCGCCGGGCCCTCCCTCATTAATTCTAATGCAAAATCTTGAACACTAAAAAGACTAAGCTCACTCAATGTGATTTTAGAAATTCAAACACATTTTTCAGTTAAAATTTTAATATGTGGTTATAAAATGTTGCAAATATTGCTGTCACTATTTATGTCTTAGAAACTAAAATATTCCCCCTGTAAAGAAAAAAAGGATTTAAAATTTCAAACACCGTATTTCCTCAGAAAAAAAGACCTATTTTATGCTTGACAGACTTTGGGTATTGCCTTTTCAGAGGACAGGTATCCTTAAAAGCTGTGGTTTCTTGGAGCTGACTTAACACTGTACTATGAGTGGATTTACTGTTCTTCAGAATTGCATGCTGGTTTGTGGTTCATAGCTCTTCCAAGTGTAAAGAGGGCATTAAATGCATCTTTCAAGTAGTATGAGAATTGTCTTATTTTAAGATAAAGCAAACTTGTAAATGGACATTGTTTATTTTTATTAGTAAAATGATCTTTTGCTCAAGTCTTGAAAACTCTCTGCTCTAAAAATTCTCACAGGAATCACAGCTTCCCTTAGGTAACGTGTAAAGAATGAAAGAAATCAAAGATCTTTGAGTGAGTTGTGTGCACAAAGTGTTGAACTGGTGGATTTATAATTCTGCATTCTTTCTCTGGTCCCATTCTACTCAGGTTTGTTTTCAACCAAGCTAGTCTTGTCTTACGCAACACAGAAATTAAGTGCATTCGTGGCGTTCACCCCCTCCTGATGCCCATGATAGAATTTTAAGGGATACTGGTTATTGGTTGGTAGCTTTCTTGCTCATAGACACAGTGATGTGTCAGTGCCATCGGCGTTTTCAAGGATGTTGTTGAAAATGTCTTCCTGAGATGTTTGTGTCCTTACAAGTAGGGGACGCCACTTGAAGGATCTGACTTGCTTTGCACAATTCACTCATGCATTTTGTCTGTTCATAAAATGGCTTGCATAATTTTAGGATTTGTATCTGTTAACTCTTGGATTTTCTTTGAGAGCCGTGGTCCTCAGCCAGGAGTGATTCCAGCTCTCCGGGTCCTGGTGATGTCTGAACCATTCTTTGTTGCAGTTGGGGGTAGGAATTCCACGGGCATCCAGTGGGCAGAGGCTGGGGATGCTTCTCGCCATACTGCAATGCATAGAGCAGCCACCACATGGCATTGGGTTCAGAATCTTAACAGTGAGGAGATTCAGAAATCCTGGTTGAGAGCAAGCAAAGTGATTCCGAAAGTGAAATGTTAACTTTGTCAGTGAGCCACATGCTAAAGTACTTCAGAACTTACAGATACGCTTCCAGCCACTCTGTCCATTTGTAGCTACTTCATGATGTGGATGTATGGATATGTCATGGTTAGCCTTTTCCTGGATTTCAGTTTGCCTGCTTGAGTTGAATTTGATGTAGGGTTGGATAGTACAGCTTTAAGGGGACATTGAAGCCATCACAAATGGTTTTACATGTATTTAAAGTGAAGTATGAGGGAACATGAATTACACTTATCAGTTTTCAAGTATTTGAT